AGCTGAAAAACATTTTGAACAGCAACAACAGCCTTTTGTGATTAATGAACCTATTTGGACTAAAACAGCTCCAGAGGCTGAATGGGAGAGGGGCACATTGCTCTATAGGGGGAAAGGTTTTGGTTATATCTCCACAGAAAATGGAATTCAGCAGTGGGTCCCTGGACGATGGATCAGGACCCGCGTCTCCAGATCCTGTTCACCAGCCCCGGAGACAACTCCCCAAGGAACCGAAACCGTGCCTTCAGAAGCGAGCGCGAAACCAGCTAGAAGCTGAGGATGCTGAGTTTGTTCCTATCGCAGCCATGGCCAGATTACAGCTAAGAAAATCCCGCCGCTCACAGCGACCAAATTTAAATCCCCTCCCTACATGGGGACAATTAAAGAAATTGACCATAGAAGGGCAACGGCTTGTCCTTCAAGCAGGAAAGCCTTTAAACCCTGAAAACTTGTTTTTAGCTTTATGTGCCTTGCTCACCGTTGCATCGGGGACTGAGGTACCTCCGCATTCGTACTGGGCATATATTCCAAACCCCCCTTTATTAGAACCTGTAAAATGGGGAACTAGTGATATTTTACTTTATACCACACCTAGAGAAATTTTGTCAGCACCGTGGGCTGATTTAACCCCCCACAATCAAGATGATGGGACACTATTCAATTTTACTTATTATGGTAATCAAAGGCCTATTTGCATTGGGGAACCGCCTTGCATCCCTCTGGGATGGCAGTATTGGATTCAACATGGAATAAAAGCAGGCAACAAAAGGACAAGGCTTCAAGCCTTGGCTGCTCAAACCTTTAATGTTACCTGGAGAAATTTAACAGCACCTGATACAAATACATTTCCTGTATGCCCTGAATTTACTTATAAAAATATTTCTTATAATCCCATAATTTGGCAACTATGTATGGGAAAATTTGCTAAAAATATTGATGGGTATATTATTTGGGGACCATTTGGAAAATTCGTTAATGGATGTGCTAAATGGAATGAGACAAGATGTAATCTCTCTGTTGTGTATAGTCTTCCAGATCCAAAGAAAATAACTGACGGAGCTCCTATATTTCAACAAAAGACGGCTCTCTTGTGGTGGGGAGATGGTGGAATCGCTAACCCTGCTGTTGCAGCCGAAGAATACCCTCATCACCTTCAAAATCATATTTAGAAGATCCCAGCCGCTATACAACCTGTAACCTTGTACAATGTTTCATATTCAGGGACTAGTCGATCTGTATCTACTACTTATAATTTTACTAGGTTTAAAATGTATAATATTACTGTTTGTGCACCTCTGCCTTATGTCTTTTTAGTGGGAACTTTTAATTTTACACATTTTTCTTGTACTTGTTTAAATTGTCAATTGTTTACATGCTTAAATAACACACTAAATTTCACTAAGCCTTATACAGTTATGCTGTTACAACAAAAAACTCATATTTGGTTGCCTGTAAATTTAACTCGACCTTGGTCTCAAGACCCGGTAATTTCTGTTACTACTGAATTTTTTAAACATCTGTTAAAACGTACAAAAAGATTTATTGAAATAGTGGTTGCTGTACTGTTAAGTCTGATAACTGTAGCCTCTCTAGCAGCAGTCTCAGGAGTAGCTTTACAAACCTCTTTGCAAGAAAAACATGTTGTCGAATTATGGCATGAGAATTCTCATAAACTTTGGTTAACTCAGTGGCAGATAAACGCCAGACTACAACAACAAATAGACCTCCTTAAACAAACAGTTGAATGGATGGGTAGAAAAATATTGGCTCTTCAGCATCAAGTGTTTTTAAAATGTGATTGGAATTCAACTACTTTCTGTATAACCCAACGACCTTATAATCAGACAGAACATGAATGGGAAATGATTAGAATGTATTTAAATGGAAACACCTCTGCCCAGGAGGAAATAGAATCTTTGCATAATCAAATTGACAAGGATTTTGCAAAGCAAAATGATGATGAATCTCTAGCACAATTCGCGCAATTGCTTGCTCAATCTTTAAAAGGATTAGATTCCAAAGGAATCTGGCAGAGCATTACCCACACTTTTAGTGGCATGGGACTTAGTTTAATTATAGTTCTCATTGCCATAGTTCTTGTGTATTTTTACTGCATAAGACGAAATGCTATTAATAACCTGATCTTATGGAAATTGTTGTTAAAAAATAAAAAGGAAGGAAGTGTGGGGGATGAGGTGTCACTTTGTAGGCCCAACCCCCTCTAACCTGCAATTTACAATAGCCGCCCTGGTATGCGAGAAGGAGGTAGAACGGGAATGCCCGTTCTCAGTGAGCCCTCACCCTCTGGAATCCATACTGTGAGCTGGCTTTGTTTTGCAGAAGTCTTGAGGAAGTGGCTGGCCACCCTTTGTGACACTAACAGCAGACAAATTAACAACATTCTTGAGCTAATGAATTTCTTCCTGGGCTAGAGAAGTTGTGAGAACTGGTTGTGATTATTTACTTCACTTAGATAGTTTTAGAATAAACATTGTAGTCTGTCACGTTGTAGCTTGCCACAAAGAATGCCTTTTCACTACTTAATTATCTGGGCTCTGTGAATTGATCGGGTTTACTATATATGAATCCTAAAATAAAGATTGTGCGTACAGTGCAGTGCAGTGCAGTGTAACGCGGTGCAGACAGCAAAGGTGTCTCTCCTGTCTTTCTTTTCCAAGCGCTGTACCCCCCGTGTCCCGACAAGGCGTGCGTGTTTACCTTGCCCAGAGTTCAGAGTGCTCTAGACACTCACGACAGGGCACGATTTTTAATGACTTATTGATATTTGCAGTACTGAGGCTTGGATGGACCCAGAGCCTTTGCACTGAGCTATATCCCCAGCCCTTTTCAAAAATTTTAATTCTGAGACAAACTCTTGCTAAATTACTACATTGCTTTGACTGGGTTCGAACTCGTGATTCTCCTGCCTCAGCCTTCCAGAGTGCTGAGATGACAGGGATGTGACTCCATGCTTTCCAAGCCCCACATTAGGAGTTTCTGAACCCTGTGACAGTCACAGCCAAGGCCTCAGCGGAGCTGGGGAGGGCCACGCGGGAGGAGTGGCTGCAGGTCTCCAACACACAGAGCACCGCGGCCCAAGCAAGGAACCGGGGCGGCCTTGCTGGCCGGGCTCCCTGGGCTGGCGCCTTCTCAAAGCCACCCCTGGGACTCTTAGGTGGCAAAGGCAACTCAGCCTTTGCAGGGGCTGTACCCATGAGCTGTCTACTTTGAGCTTAGGTTGGGAACAGGACCTGGGGAGGGACGGAGCCCCCTGGAAACCCCACACTGAGCCCGTGCGGGTCACCGGCAGGACACCTCACGTTTCCCATTCCTTCCTGCTCTGATATCTGAACCCGTGGGCCCCTGACACTGCACACAGAGCAGAGGGTCCAGCCTCGCTCACCAAGATGGGGCTCCCCTGTCAGCACCTGCTCCTGGGGTCCCCCACTCTGCTTGCCAGCAGCTGAATAGCATTGCTAACTTCTTCCAAAAGCGTCAAGGCCTTGGATGCCTGAGCCTCAGGGCTGGGCTGGATGAGACTGATCGGGACTTAGAACCCTTAGCGTGCTGACAAAGGGTTAACCCTACGCAGCTCTGCAAAGCGGGGGAGCGGGGTACAATAAATTCTGTTCAAACAAAGAATGTGAGGCATGTACTTTGCACCAAGCAATAAAGTCCATCATATCGTTTAATATAAATTCCATGTAACCCCTCAATTCTTGTAGAATACATTTCCTGATTTTTGCCAAACTCTCGAATCTACCCCCAACCCATGCCCATAGGAGAGCCCCTCGTGGCTCACAGGGCCTCGGGTCTCTGGTTTTACCCGTGGGCCGGAGGGCTCTGCTCGCCCACCCGTGTTGTGATGGACTCCGTGGCACTGGCTAGTGGCTTTGGGACACTGCAAGTAGATGTTTGTCGGTTTCTCATGCCATCAGCGATAACCACAGACATGACTGTTCCAGTTCTGGCTACGTCGCTGTATTTTTTCCATCCATTTTCTCAGCATAGCCTGTCTACAGAACAATAGTCCAGGCCCAGCCGGCGGTGTGCGCCCACTTCACGTTGTAAGGGCTCCTACTTGGCCAGCTTCAACTGCCCAGCTGATGGCCGGAGAGGTAGGGAAGCAAGTATTTATAACCTTTCATTTTAGTATAATTTATTTCATTTTAAGTTTTCATGAATAGCTGTGCTTAGTGAGTGGCTTCCAGAATTCCTGAAAGTTTAATTACCAGCTGGCGCACACCTGTAATCCCAGCACACGGGAGGCCGAGGCAGGAGGACCGTTAGGAGTTTGAGGTCAGCCTGGGCTGCACAGTAAGCTCAAGGCACCCTGAACTGCAGAGCGAGACCAAAAAGACAGTGAAAAAAACAGAGAATTAACGGGTTGGTGAAGGGGCAGAAATGGGTCCCCAGAGCCAACTAGGTCCCAAAAGTGACCCAGAGTAAAGAATCCAAGCAGAGAAGTCCGCCTACGCTTCCTGGGCAGCCTGTCCGGAGCCAGGCAGGGACAGAAACTCAGTTTCCTGAGTTCTTGCCAGGTCCCACCACTGATCAGACAGTCTCATTTTAATTCACGGTACAGTAATACCTCTGTTCCCAAACACGCCTGTTCAAGACCTCCACGCGGGGTGAGGAACACAGACACCGTCCTTTCCCCACAATTGTGGAACCAATTAAGTTCATGAACTGACGCACCACCCTCTATTTATTATTTGGGAATAAATCCTCGGGAATGCTATTTTTTAAAGTCTCCTCGTTGTTCTCATTTTATAAACAGGAAAACTGATAGACAAGAGAGGTGTGTTGGTGGAGGACCCACAGACAGCAAATGTTACAGCTGGATTCCCCGCAGCCCCCATAAATTAAGCCAAACCCCGAGTTAGGAGCCATTGCATTTTTATATTCTGATTGTGTGGACCCCGTCTGGGATGTGACGTTGTAAGACGGGCCTCATGGATTCCAGAGGTTGCATCAGACCAGGATTTAACAGGCATCAAATCACCTTCCCAGTGTCATCCCTTTCCTTCCTAACTAATGATTCCCCAGGCTCCTTTGCAGTTATAGACAGTCACATGACACCGCTCTAGCCAATGAGCTACAGGTCAAAACCCCAAGGGGACTTCTGGGATTGCTTTGCTCTCCTTATTTAAGTGCCACTTCTGCCTCTTTCTTCTCATGCTTTAACTAAGGTCACGGGCTAGAGGTGGAGCAGTCACCTTGTGACCTTGAAGGGTCTCTCTCTGTCACAGGCAGAAAAGCGGAGAGAAGGACTCTGTGACATCGATGCCGTCATGAGGTCATCGCACTGATTTCTTGTTTTATGGGGAAAAGTGCCCAAATGGGTGGAAACCAACAGTCTTGGGACCCGCTCTGGGTTTGTGGCAGATTTCCTACATGCAGCGCCCGTCTAGGCTGGTGAGTTTGGGTCCTATCCCGCTGCGGTGTGCAGCTAGGTGGAGCTGTCGCCTGGGGAGTGACAGCTGATGGGCTCAGGTTTCTGTCCCTGCAGGCCGGCAGGAGCCCCAGGTGAGAGTTCGTTGGTGAGAAGCTGCGTCCCGGTGCAGTGACATTGGAAACCGGGCACACTTTGGATTGGAGTAGATTCCCGCCCACAGTAGATTGGAGTAGATTCACAGTAGATTCCCGCCCACAGAAGGAAGGAAAGTTTCCACTTAGGAAGTCTGGAACTCCCTGTCGCCTAGGATGTCACCAAGGATGGCGGAATTTATCTTCTTTCTCCTAACATTCTAGAAAGCATTCCTCTTACCGGAGCTCGCCGGCCGCCACCTCCAGATAGCCGCGCATTCACGCCTGTCCTCTGCAGTTCTCCTCAGAGGGCTTCCGTGTGGATTAAAAAATGCAAAATATCTGCTCGGTGCCAAATTCCAGAATTGCACAAGCCTGAGAGGAGGCTTGCTTTGTTAAGGTTTTCTTGTGGCAGCTGCCGCCGTGGTCATTAGCTTGTGAATTCCATCTGCCGGTGAGGCTGACTTTTGGGTTTGCCTCTTGATAATCCTGTCTGATTCTACCGCTGTCTAGACAATGAAGAAATTAACACCAGTGGAAACAGAATAGTGCAGAACCTTTGGAACCAAATACTTTTTAAAAAATCAACTTTAGAATCTGTGGAGCAAAATGTGAGAGCAATTAGTTAATTATGGGGCACCCTCTGGGACACCAGCCATGAGAAATAACAAGGCCTTCCTGTACTGATGGCCTTTTAATTCCTTGCAAATGCCCCTTCCCACACGGGACCCGTGATGGCGCCTTGGAACGTGTGATTGTGTTTCTGTGACCCTGCTCCAAGCTCATAAAGACCCTGAAAACGAGACACTGCGGCCGTCTTGCCCGACCCTCACGTTCTCTAACAGATGAGTTCTTCGCCAGAAAATGCTCCCGCTCTTCCCCGTGAGTCCGTTTGTGCTCTAGCTAAGAGAAAACCATGCACAAAAATGTTTTTCTAACATGTAAAACCCTTCGTTTGCTTTGCATTGCATACAGAATCCAAGCCACTGAAACTCTGATCTGATTCCTAAGACCTTGACTGAGCTCATTTCTTGCCAATTTCCCTTGTTCGTGATGCATCTTCATAAAACAAAAGTTCCTTTCCTCCAGAGTAGGAGCAAGCAAACTACCAGCCTTGGGCTGAATCTGGCCCTTCACTTGTTTTTGTAAATAAAGTTTTATTCGTACCCTGCTGTGTTCATTTGTTTCTGTGTTTTCTATGGCTGATATCTTTCTATGGAGGGCAGGATGAAAGAATTGCAAACCAAAATGCTTGGAGATTTGCTGACTTTGCCCCCACGGCACTGATGCCCTCGTCAGGAGATCCTCTGATTGCCTGTTACCTTTACTTGGCTGTGGGTACCAAGTGGGCAGGAGCTAGGTCACATCCGCCCCAGGGTCCCCCGTTTCCTGTGCTGGGCACTAAGCCCTTACTCTTGAGCACTGTGGAATGAAGAGGAAAAGAAACTGATGAAAGAAAAAAAAAGAAGAAAGGAAAAAAGATTGAAAAAGAAACAGGAACAGAAAGGAACAGCGACTGGGCGTTCCCGAGATGATCTGCCATGCTGGAAACCCTGACCTGTTACGGGCTGCGCTGTGTTGGTGAACTCTGAATGTCTGCAGCTTCTCTGAGCTTTATGCACGGTGCTCAACAGGATAAATTGAGGCAAGAGATGGGAGGGAAGACGGGCAGCCGGGGCCTGGGTGGAGCCGGGGACACCCAGTGCCCACCCCAGCTGCTTTTCAGAGATTCAGTCCATGGCATCCTCTCCCCTCGGGGAGCACGAGGTCATGCCCAGTGGGTCATGGTGCACAGGGCGCGAGCTGTCGCGTCTCCCAGCGCCCCTTGGTGTGTGGCACTTCCAGACCCCAAGGTGGGAGAAGACCGGTCAGCGCCCTGGGGCAGTTTCACAGCACATCGTCCCCCATGCCTGGCTCCTCTTCCAGGGGAGGAGCAGCTGGTGATTGCTTTGCCCGGCAGACTCCAGGAGAAGTGGCCCACAAGGCCAGCCTCTGCTTCCTTCCCTGCAATATTCAGGAGCCATCCTAACTGTTGGCAGTGCCCTGCGGCCCAGCCTTCCAGCTTTTGGGTCCCCTCTAAAGTACCAGGCGGAAGACGAAGCCATCTCGGACTCTTGAGGTCAGCTATCAGCTAGCTGAGCAGTGCTGAGGACCTCAGTGGGAAAGAAGCATCACCCAGCCGAGCACAGCCTGAATTCCCCACCCACAGAATTATCAGCTAAGTAAGATGGCTCCTCCTTAAGTCACTTTCATTTGGGCTTGCCTGTTATACAGCAGTAGCTCGCTGCAGCAAACCATGACTGAGCTAATGAAGCAAAGGGACTGTGGAGGTCCCAGCACATGGGAAATCATCGACGTTGCCCCTTCAGCCCCTCTTGGCCACGCTGAATCGGAAGACCAAACATTTTGTGCCCATTTTTTCCAGCTATGGATGTGAATCCAAGTGAAGCCACTTTAAGAAATGTGACAAGGGTCTAGAATGTCAGTTTTGTCATTACAGGAGCCAGCTATGCTTTGTTTCATAGCTGGTGTGGAGACACTATTATATTTTCAGAAGATGGCAAATCTTCTCATCCCTGGCCGGGGCACCTTGAACGCAGGGTGGGCTGCCCAGGAAGTCCCTCCATGTCCCTTCCACGTGTCCTCTGTGTCCCACCCTGCGTCCCTGGTAGGTGGCTGCCAGGGGATGCCGGATGGAGAGGGAGGAGTTGAGAGGCAGGAGAGGACATGTAGGCTCTGCCCCAGGAAGTGGCAGTGGTCACAGTGCAGGCTGCCTGTTCCCAGTGGCTCCCTCCCTCCAAAAGGACGTCTCTGAGCTGCCTGAACCAGAATGCAGTCTCCTCTCCTTCCCGAGTGCTGGGAGAGTTGCAGGGCTCGGGCTCTGCAGATTCCAGTGGGAACAGCTGTGCAGTGGAGCAGGGAGAGTGTGGCCGAGGCCCACAGCGCTCTTGGCTGAAGGACTCCCCTTGGACCTCGAGGTCCGAGTCTTTCAGTCTTTCGAGGACACAGGCTTTCAGGCTTTTCAAGATCCAACCTGCCAAGTGCCAGGGCTCATGCCAGGTCGGGAAGGAGGCTGAGGCAGGAGGATCACAAGTCGGAGCCCAGCCTGAGCAACGCAGGAAGACCCCTCCAAAATAAAACATACTGAGAACTGGGGCTGCAGCTGAGCACTCCCTGGGTTTCATTCCCCAGTATGGGGTGGGATCCAAACCAGAGCCCAGCACGGTGGTGCACGCCTGTAATCCCAGCACTCAGGAGGCTGAGGCAGGAGGATCATCCAAACCACTGCAGACAGTGAAGACCAAAACCTCGAGCTCAAGCTCGGGGGAGCGTGGGACTGTGTACCCCATGTGTGGTCCCGGTTGCCTTAGGTGGGAGCTCACCGTGTAGCCTCTGCCACCACCCTGAAAACCCTAAAGCCTTTGGAGTGCCCTGAAACTCGGAGAAGGTAGTGTCTAAGGCAATAAGAGAAATTAACCCTAAAAACAGAAGCGGCGAGGGGGCATCCCAGGGAAAAGCTGGAGCATCAGAAAGTCGGTCTGTCCCTGAACCTTTGAAGCCAGCTGTGACAGAGGAAGCCAACGTCTTATTTTTTTCTGGGGTGCGGGGGCAGTGTGGGGACTGACGTATCTCACAGCTGTGGTCCCCAGCGGCTGTTGTGTAAATGGGCAGTGGTTCCTGGGGACTGGCAGGGCCCGTAAATGTGGCCAGCGGGTCTGGGCGTTGCCCTGGGCCTGGGTCATTTCGACTTTGGGGAAGAGGTAGGAGGCGCCCGTGTCACATCCGGTGAAGGTGGGTGAGGGGCACCGTCACGTTTATGCGTGACAGAAATTGCCACACCCGGGCCCCGGGGATCCAGTTCAGCGCAGTAAGCACCTGCGATGTCGCCTGCCGGGCAAGGGCATGAGTTTGATCCCCGGTACCAGAAAAAGAAAGGAAAAGGCCTTGCCATCTATATTTTGAATTAACTCAGGACACTGAGGTGGTCACGACAGGGGGACTAAAGACAGTCACCAAAGGGGACCCCAGCGCTGCCTCCCAGAGCAGCGAGATGGGGGTGCGTGGGCCAAAGCTGGGGGGAGTCTGCGGGGAGACAAGGACAATGTGTCGCTTTCTTCTGCACAACGTGTCCTTTCCCGGAACAGTAGTTTCCATGACACCGCTCGCCTGGCCTCGTTCACACCTCGAGTTCCCCGGACCCGCTCACAGATTCCCTGCGTGTCCGCGTGTCCCCTGACTGCGTGTACCTAAGTGTACCGCGTGGTGACACTGGGGATTTAAAGGCTCGGGTGGAGGCTGAGCCGAGGAAGAGCCCCGGCTCCCTCGGTGGCCCGGAGGGGAAGCCCAAGGTCCTTGGCTGCGCCCATAGTGACGGCAAGGGAGGCTGACAGAATGGCGTTTGCAGAGCGGCTTTTCGACCTCTGCGATGTCGCCAGTTTTCCAGACAAACACGCATATGTCTGTGGCTCCAGGTGACAGAACCCCGTCTGGTCAAGCACCACCGAAACTGCAGGCTTTGTGTTCGCTGGACCACGGGGCTCCAGCAGAGCCATCAGGATGCGGCTCTCCGCCCTCTCTCCGCCTCTCTCCTTGCTCCTGGCTTTTCCCTGCCGAGTGCATTCTAGACCTTCGCCCACTGGCCACCAGCAGCACTAACGCCAACCAAGCATCGACACCACAGGTGGCAGCACTAGCCTCAGTAATTGGAAGAGAGGACGCGGCCTTGCTCCCAGCATGCCCACCGACAACTGGGGCTTCCCATTGGCTGGTCCTGAGTCACGTGCCCACTGCTGAGCCAATCAGGGTGACCTTGGGCCCAGGGGCTGTACTGCCTGGATGCAGCCTTACCTGAACCCTTTGGGTTCCCCGGGGAGTCCGAAGTCTGTTCCAGAAAGAGATGAGCAAGGAGAGCAACAAATAAATGAATAAATAAATAAAGGCTGTCTGCCCGATGATCAGAGAGCTTGCTATACTAACGCATGGTGTTAAGAGCTTTCAGTCTGCCTTAAATCAAGGTCACTCCAGCACCTCTGCTGTCCAGTTGCCTTGATTCGCTAGGTGCAGAGTCCGTGCCAAACCCCGCATTCTTTACATTTACAAAAAGCTTTTCACATCCAGGGTGGAGCTCTAGGCTGAAAAAAGTACTCGTTTGATTAAATCAATTGCTTAATCCCCTCAAGCCTTGTCAGGAGGTAAAGAGCACACGTCTCCTGTACGGGAAGCAGAGGTTTTCATAGACTCCACACGCCTTGAATTCCTTAGTAATCCCAGCAGGAAAGGACATAAAAGGGGGAAGGGACGCTTTTATTTCCCAATCACGGCCAGAGGAATTTTAAAACTGTTTATACACTCTGCCGAGTCTCTCCATACCTGACAGCTTTGGCAGGAAGGCCCGAGGCACTGATTTAAAACAGGCTGCGAGCGCGTGTGGAAGGTGCTCTGCCGCCTTCCAAGACAAACGTACCTGCAAGAGAGGTGACTTTTCCGGAGGAGACCCTGTCCTCTGGGACCCGGACCTGCACTTCCTCCAGGGAGACCCTGTTTCCGTCTGGGGGGTGGGGAGGGCGTGAGCCACACATTCTTTGATTTCAATGAAAACAAAGCCGAGTCCTGCCTGCCGATGATCACGTTAGATTTCTGGCTGAATTATACACTTTAGCGGAATGCCTGGGACTTGGTGGCAGGTTTTGGTTTTTGGTTTTAATTCCCCACTCTCTCTCTGCACTTTTGGTGGGGTTTTGGGGGATGCGTGACCCAAGGGTAGCACTGAGTTGCTGGGGACTGGGGCGGTTAGGTCGCCGAGTCCCAAAGCTTGGCGGGGTGGATGGCCATGTGGGACTGGGTCAGCCTCGAGGCCTGGAAGGTTCCGGACCTAGCGGCTGGGAACGTGCAGATGGGGCAGGCAAGGAGGACCCTGCAGAGGGTCCGTGTGTCTGTCCAGCCTCCCACCCCAGGCTTGGGCCCAGCCCCGCAGGAAAGCCCGGCTGCCCAGCTGGAAGGCACTGGGACCAGCATGCCGTTCACTTGTGTAATAAATTAAATAATAAAGATTTATGCAAATAAACCGAGGGAGAACTAGATAGGATTAAACAATAGGTTAATAAATTCCAAAGCGGAGGGAAGGAAGAAGGGGCAGTTCCGCCAACCCCTCAGGGCTGGCACCGAG